TTAATGTGTAGAGATAATTGACTTACTGTTGCATGAAGTTTCAAGTTTCAGTACTATCTTTCTTGTTTTAGGAATCTGAGTATGCTGTGAAGCATCTTGCTGAGGAAAATCCACTGATCCTTCCATTCCCCACGACCGATTTCACCAAGAAGAAGAAGGTATGTGCCAGCGCCAGCGCTTAGAAAAAGGATTTCGTGTACGAGTTTTCGAAACACTGATTCGAACATCAGGTCATCATCATAGCCGCTTTAAGGGCGAAAGTAACGCAGTGGTGGCAGATAGCACCGCCTTCAAGAGTATAATCCCAGGTTGGCCCAGGAAAAAGTCAAACACCTTTTGTCTCCTCTTTGGGCCATCTCAGCCTTATCTTTTCGGAGTGAGACGACTCATACAGTTTGCGTTTCGGAGGGGAGGGGGGATGAGGATGGCTCTGACTGAGAGGCTTCTCTCGATCCAATTGTGGTAAGTGGCAGGCGACCACAATGGTGGAAAAGTGGCTGGCATCGCTCCAAACCTGATATGCCCCAGCGCCCACGGCGATCAAGGCTACCAGACTTGCATGGGAGGTCTGTTCTCTGTCCAGAAGTACTCTTTGAATTGTTTTGTCCTAGTAGTTTTTCCATTGGTGTCGTTTTTCTACTTTGGGATGAATCCAAATTTCTTAATCCCGATGTGGTCATGGGTCCTAAACAGTGAGTCTCAAAGGTAGTCGGTGGTCAGTGAGGAGGCGGAGCATAAATTCAAGCCTATCAGGAATGTCAAAGGGCCACATCTTGCGACATTCAGGGCACATGACCTTACGTCCTTTTTTCCAATGATGCTCGCTCGAGCTTTCGCACCGCCTCCAAGCCAGCTCACCCACTGTCCCTTCCGGGATGAATTAAACTGCTACTTGCTTACCAACTCACTTTATTGAAGAATCTTGTCAGTCAAGTCGGCAGTAAGTCCTCTAACATCATGTTTTTGTTGTGTTATTGCAGTGGACCAACCAGGCGGGTCAATGGTCGCAAGAAACTTCCTGCTGGATATGTGGGTAACCGGCAGAGATGTACATTCTGTAAAGGACCAGACAGAGAATATGAGGTGGATCTTTTGTTTTCTGCGATTTTGTACTGCTTCTATAAACTACCCATTTAAGTTAACCGTCGACATCAAGTTGTGCCAATCCGGTTTGACAAAGATAGTCACGTTCTGTCCATTCTACTTGGTCTCGAATATCAGCAAATGGGATATGGAAGTCAGAGAGGAAGGACAAAAAGACTGGATATCTGTTCGATCTGAAAGAGTTGTAAAGTTTGGCTGCAGAGGTGAAATCTACTGGGAATTGGTGGGGACGGGGGAGTTTGAACGGTACTTATGAATGGTGAGAAAAACGTTATCCGCACGCATATACCCTCCTCAGTTCGTTCATTTTGTCTTGCTGTATGACTTACGACTTATGGTGCTGTTTCTAGTGTGTGGGCATTTGGCCGAAACAGAGTGCGAAACGAAAGTTCCTGTGCGCAAGATATAAAGGACAACAGGAGGAGTCAATACTGTTCCCCATCACGGAGAATTTCGAGACGCTTTGTCATGTGAGTTCTTTTGGGGGAATTCCCGATTCCCTGTTTCTAAAGCTCTTTTGTTTAGATTGACAATGAACAAGTCGGTATTGAAGTATGTGTGACCACGTCTGATTCGTCGGTTGCCATCCATCTGTCGCCTTTCCAACAAGGAATGGCACCGGTGTGTGTCATGAACAGTCTCAAGGTGAGTTCTTATACCGTATAACACTGCTCAGTTCTGATTGTAGATCTCGAGCGGTGGGGAAAGGGATTTAGGGCGAGACTAGGTCGCGACCACTCTGGTCGCCTGACCTGTTCTCGTCTGGGTTCAGCTTGTTCAGAGGCCTGATCAGCTTATGGTTTCCTCCCTCCTCTCAACTTCAGGTGGGAAGGGGGGGGGAGAAGACGAGAAGCCTTCTCCCTCCCTCTCCAACCACGTTAGCGCCTCGGTTTTAGCATTTTCTTTTCAGCGGATCATCTTGCCTTAGGGATCTACAAGAAGTATGAGCAGCTCCTACTTCAGGTACCTGTCACGTTTGGACAGAAAGGTCACGAAATGAAGACGGTTAACAGCAATGAAATGATGTACTTCACATGGGCCAATGTCACCAAGAACAAGGTCATGGAGGTGAGTTTTTCCTTTCTTTTTCCGGATCTGTATTTCGATAACATTTGGCTACTTTTCTTGGTCACCGCCGCTTGGCTAGGAGCGAACAACTGAAAAGGTGCGGGTCCAGTTTGGCATATGTACGTGAAAGCGAGGCGATAAAAAGATAATAACTTTAGGAAAATGGACGGCGTACAGTACCTCGAAGTTGCGCGTGAAATTAGATGCGTCTGTGTTGTTAATGTGCACAGTTGGGCGTACCGTGAGCCAATTCGGCTATCCACTTTTCATTTAACTATCTTTTAACTTTAGTTTTTAATTTAACTAGGTTGTGCTGTATGTTCGAGAACGGTGCTAGTTCCGCTCTCCACTTGTGGCCAGATGCCACCTCGGCGAGAACTGAGGGTACTGTATGCACCCGCTGGTCAAATGCACTTAGTTTCATGCGTAGTTTTGGATACTGTATACTGTATGCTTCCCTAAATTTATAATTCAATGCGAAAAGGTGTTGCAGGTGATGTCACCTGCGCAGCGTTTGCACCAAGACCTAGGTCATTCGTTTATTGTTCCAATCGACGAGAAAGACTTTGCCATGATAATTGAGACTCTAGCCAGTTAATTTGAGGCATTTACATGAAAATGGGCGGGCCCTACGCGAACTGGGTGGGGCTTTCAGTGGGGCTCTGTGAGGGCACCTTAGAAGGGTGGAAGTTTAGGTCCAAAATTTTGCGAAGTGGCTCAAGAAGCCGACGTCTCATTGTCGTTTTTCCTTGCTCGCATCCTATGCCTTTTCAGTTCAAAGTAGGAGAATACACCGGAGAGGATAAACTCGAACAAAATCGCTTTGCTGACATACAGCTGGACCCCAATGTTAGGAGGTGAGTCAGGTTTAGTATAATAATTAACAAAACATATATAGTATATATGTTTATTAAATTATTCAGGAGCCGTTTCTTTCCAGATTCGCCTATCTCGCCAACTTCCTCATCGGAAGGCAACGAGTGCTGTTGTTCACCAAAGACTTGGACATTGCCCGTTCTGCATATGGATCGTGGGAAACTGATACTGTTGATATGCAAGCTGAAGTGGCCCTTCAAGGAGTGGGACTGTCTATTGTCGATAACAGCGTCGGCAAGGAGGTAACCAGTTATCGACTCAAGTATTGATTTTTCCCAAAATCATTAACACTCTGAAACTAAATGAAATCGATCTTTAGTTACTGTACATTGGAATATCTTCATCGGTTATCCTATGGGAGGAAGAGGTGAAGAAAGGGCGATTCAAACCATTTGCAGTAAAGCTTATGCACGCGTTGGAGGAAAAGTATCAAGAACATCTGCTTGAACCGAACAACGACTATCAGGTATTAGTTGTTTTGGTCTCAATGTGTGTCAGTGAATCTTTGACTTTCTTTCTTCAGCAAATCGATCAGTTCGAAGTCTCATTCGGGTACATGATTATGAAGAAGAAAAAGGGCAAAGAAGTGAAAATTCGTCGAATATTCGAGAAAGGTGAGCATTCCGTCATAAGCATGGTTCACTGTGGGCGGGGATCGCTGTGCATCTCCTCATTGGTGCGCCCATTTCTTCGTCGCTTTACAAGGAAGGGCGCAGCAATGAGAAAGGCCCATCAACGACATGAAAATGCTTGTTTGCTAGATGTCTTATCGCTCCGAAGAATCAAAAACACCTTCCGCGAACCAGTGGGGTAGAGACCCACAGCCATTCTACTTACCGCATTGACCCCCCTCCCGCTTTAAACAAAGTGAAGATTATAGCGCGCTAAGGAAGGTGCGAAGGTTGCGTGTCTCCGCCCTTCAATCATCGCGGAATGTTCCTTTGACTAGTAAGATAGGGCCTTTTATATTTAAAATTATGGTGCATTTTGGAGCAGAACTTTAGGATATGCTAGCGCTAATCTGAGGATGAGAAATTGCCCAACATTCAGGTGTTCATTGGTGTTGTTCCAGGAATCTGGGCAAACTATGGAAAGAGCGCTGAACGAATACGACTTCATCTTAAAATCAATCATATGCAGGTTGACAATCAGGTGCGTCTTTACTTTCGGTAATTTGAGACCTCGCGTTAATGCTGTATCAAAATGTGTCCGCTACTTGTTAGCATTTGAGTTGTGCTTGAAGGGGGCATTTCGCTGGTTCCCTTTATTCACTCCAGTGCATCTTGTACAGACTGTAGGAAACTAGCGAACATGTAACATGTCACCCACTTTCTCCTCCTCATCTGAACAGTTTCAAAATTTGGATGGGTTTTCAATTTTTAGAAATGAGTTGAACTCACAGTCCACGTTTATCGTGTGGGCGGACACAGTTTATGATTTTTTGGCTTCCTCGTTGGCACGCGCTCCATCTTTAGGACCACATCATTTAAGAAGAAGACGCAGTGGCGAACTGTGTCCACCTATACAATTGGTGTGCTTGCGTCCTCGAGTGATTCGAGAGCCTGGAGTATTGATAGCAAAGCGGTATGCTCGCTAGTCATTCTACGCATGGGAGCGAGGCTTGATCCTCCCCGATAAAATCAGTAGGGGTTGATGGTAAATTTGGGATATTTATTAATTTTATTTACTATTTCAGCTCGAGACATGCGTTTTCCCGCGAGTACTAGCCAATGTTCCACCTCCAAAGAGTGTTCTGGTCGACAATGGTAAGTACTTTTGAAAAGTTGGCGTGCTGCCATAGGTTTACAGCCCCTTTTGACTTATTTGTTTCTGCTTTACCGTGAAATTAATTTCAGCGCCGAAACCTTTCATCGAGCTGTCGTTCTTGCAAAGGCAGTCAGAATTCTCAACAGTACCTGAAGTGGAATATGCTAGAGTTCTGGTGCAAGGAGTTCGCTGTACAAGTTGACCAGGGACTGATAAATGCCCTTTTGGCGTTGATAGCCTCAGAAGTCAACAAGGAAGCTTACGGGGTAAGATTTCGAATAGCTGTGCCTGAGACGGTAAGGTTAGTGCGTGTGGGGTTGCGGCATACGCTGATACACCGACCATTTCGCAACCACGAGCATAACTGCTCATTCCGACGGATACGGATAGCTGTTACCGCGGTAGAAACAAAAATCACTGAAGTTACCTATTCCAGAAGGAAATGTTCGAAGCGGACATGGCAACGGCTTTGGTTGGCTTGGAGGATACCGCAATGCAAAATCGATCACATCAACCAAGATCTTTCTACAATGATCTGCATATTTCGCCTCTCATGGTAATCCTAATTTTGCCAAGATCTCTTTTATAGAGGACATTCTTCTGCGCAACTGCGGCCGAATCTAGCCTTGATGCGGTGACTTTTTCTCCTTAATGCGTCGACTAGCCATGGATCGACTTGTGGCTTTTGAGCAGTTCTAAACGTGGTCAGGTCTGGCTCCCTTGAGTACCAGGTTGAATAAGAAGTTGTGACGGGAATCGTCATCGTTGTGAAAAGTGTGTTAAAGGGGCTTTGAAGTGAAAGAGACAAATAGAGACGAGTTCCATTTGAAAAGAGGCTTTCTCGCCTGATTTTGAATAGCTTCTTCACATTCCATGGTAAGTGGATAGGCGGGTATTCACCACGCCCTCCTCATTGGCGCGCGTCTATTCTATATGAGGAGGAAACTGGTGAAGGTGGTACAGAAGTTGCGGATTCTCGGCTACCCGATCATCGCGAAATGGGTCTTTGAATTCCATCAGGCTTCTCGATTACCCACTCTTCCTAAAACGCTGGATGGTTGGACATTGTTTGGAGTGTGCAGTATTGGAGAATCATCGAAACGAGATAGGTATTCGCTGGCGCTGTTTGGCTTAGAAGGGGCATTTTTTTTTTTTATTTTTTTTTTTCTTTTTTTTTGCACTTCCGCTAGCTCATTTTGCTAGTTCCTAGTCAATTATATATCACACCTTGGTGAGTGTAGGTTTTTTTGTGGAGTGTGAACGAAGGTCCTAGAGTTCCATGTCTTTGCAGCATATGGAGAGGTTTACGGTCCATAGGAGGCGTCGATGAGGACTAGCAGAAT